AACTTTTTCTCCCCACCGATCGATGACCAAGTTCCTTCGAAATTTAGTTCGCTATCAACAAACAATTTCAGCGATTCATAATCACCAGACCACGATAGTTTTAGTTCAGGATATCGATTTATATTTGATGATTGAGTTTGATGTGTAGCTATTGACATCGTATAGAACTAAATTGCACAGTTTATGATGTTCTCAACACAATAAGTACTTCTTGGTACGCTTTGTGGATTGTGAGAGATAGATCTAGATTACGTAGTATCGTCGCAATATCACTGTACATACAAATACTCACATACAATTCTGCTGTTCTAAGAACTCTAGCAGTTAAATATGCAGTGAGATATCAAATAATTGTGATTTGTAACATTCATTTAAGTTGGAGTAACGGAGCACAAAATACACGTCCTCCTGCTCCAAATACTCGTAATCTACTTAACTAATAAAGCCTGTGTAAGTTACAGGGTTCTGGACCTGGTTCGTTTGTATATGATGCCATTCGAGCCGTTCATGCTCTTGAATCTTCAGTAGTACCATGGGGTACGAAGAGAACGGTGATTACCCAGGGCCAGGAGGTGCTTAGAGGGATTATTATTAACATATTTATACAGGTTTACTTCGTCAGGCTATATCGCATGCTATCAGTGAAGGACATGTAACTAAACTATAAAATACAATATAGTACTCGTTGATACTATACTACCATCAATACTTAAAAACTATAGAATGTCTTTATTAAGTGTCTATAAAATGTCTTTAATAAGTGTCTATAAAATGTCTTTATTAAGTGTCTATTAAAATAAGGCAAGTTAAAATGCAACAGTTTTAACTTTGCGTTTTAAAATTCATATAGGAAATCTGATTTCGTATTTCCTTGTTCAAGGAGTTAAACAATAGTGCTCCTTGCACTGAAAATGACTTTCTTCCAGCTTCAGTCTTGACTTTTGGTATGATTATGCGTGAATTATTGTTGCGAGTGCTTATCCCGTGGTTGAAACGCTCAAGTGCAGAGTGCAATGATTTAAAAACATCTATCAGCACACGCCTGTTACGGCAGGTGACAACATTATCTTGTAAACAGTGTTTTGGACCAATTATATTCGCAGCTCTATCTTGTAGTCTCTGTATTTTGGAGTTGGCTGAGTCCCAAATACAAATATAATTGGATCGATCATTACTCGGTGAATTCTTTCAGCAACATATGGATTTCTGTTCGAACGTATGCGCGAAAGTTGGCCCAGTCGAGAAGACACTCTTATAAACTTTGGATACTTGGCTAGACAAGGTTAAATGACTCCAAAGTAACACCCAGATATTCATATTCCTCCGCTCGATTGATAGGTGTAGCACTCATCATTATACAGTATTACATCCAGATTGGCAAGATAATTTTCGCGGTGATCCATATAATACAAATTCAGTTTTCCCCCTTTTCAGGTTGGCTATAAGATTGTTTGAGACTAGTGCCAAGTGGCCATGGGGAAATGTACTTGAAAAGATAGAGGACTTTGTCCTACGCATGCAATACTCATGGTACAATAAAAGTTCAGGTATGAAGTCGTAGATTCAGTGCTTGAGGCGTATAAGAAAATAAAGGAGGCTGAATCAGTGAGCGCTATATATCTGGAGCAAAAACTTTAGTCACTCGGCCTATGAGAAAAGTGAAGCCAAGATGGTGGCCATCGACGTTGACATTGTTCTAACGGACCGTATCGCTAAACAAGTAAGTTATCAGTTCATAAAACCATAGGCATAGTCTTATTCTTTAAATCGACGTCAAAATACAGATCTCTGTTAGTACAATAATGAACATTACTCATGTTTAACCACAGGCCAGCGTGTTATTGTAACAATATTTCCATATGTTGAATACACGTGCAATATTCGCAATTGGCAAACAAATTGGAATGTGTAAACACAGCTTAAGTTAAGAAAGAAAAAGAAAATAATGTAAACGTATGAGAATTTATAACCATAAAATTAGGTTATATTATTTTTATTTAATATTTCGAGGAATACATACTACTAAAATTATCATTCATAAGTTTGCTTGTCTTCCTTCGTCAAATTTCCTACATGTCTTTGGCCTTTGCTGTTGTTTACTAAAAAGAAAAGACAAAACGTCTTACCCGGATATTAATGAACATAAAATATAACGCTTCAGTCAATTTGCCCATACTCCCCAAACTGAACGTTACAACGCAATGCCTTTGATGAAATGTGACCATACAGTAGATTCCAGGTTAGCAGTCATTAGTCATACTTCAGTGAAGGGTTTTTATTGTTATCACTATAATTATGACCTTTTGCGTAGAATGTTTCATGGAAAGATAAATGGACTTGTGTTGACGTCCTTCAAGCGTACGCTCCCTATTTTGAAATTGCCACATTATATTCAATTGTTTTTGTTCAAAAGTACTGCACTCTTTTGTGTTTCCAATGAGTTAATAGAGACCCTAAGATCGCCGTTTTTCTCGTTCCTCGCGAATCGCAAACAGCCACGTGATTTTGATGACCCGTAGTTTGAGGTCCGCGTTTCAACCGTTGGATACGGCAACGTTTTTTACTGTATTGAATAGTATTATCCCACTTCCAAGGCTCAAATTTACTTTATTTTTGTTTTCTTTTCTTTCTTCACTTTGCCTACCAAAGTGAGCTTATAACTTCCTTCTCTGTCCTAGTTAGTAGTTACTTAAACCAAAGTGAGCTTTAATAGAAACATGAAAACAAATATGGCGTCGTGTTTTGCAGTATTGAGTGTTGCGCCAATCTTAAACCAGAAAAAGAAACCTGCCAAACTGAAAACAGCTAGCTGAGGTTTGCAGTTTACAAGGAAAACGCCAATGCGATTTTCTTCTGCTAATGGATGTGAACGAGTGGATGGATTATGAATGTTCAGATGAAGATACGTATACTCAGAACATTCATAACTCATCTGCTCGTTCATGCACATCCACCAGAAGCAGAAAATCGCACTACAAATCGCAGCAAAGTTTGCAAGTGTAAACAGGCCTTCAAACACTCGTTAATAATTCATAAGCTTATTGGCAAATCATGTCAACCATAATATGTCACGTGCAGTGGCTTTAAACCTGATAAAAGTAAAAACACTCCTAATTAGTATTCTTTATATAACGAATACTAATAAGGCAGTATCTATTGTAGCCGTGTCCTCATTAGTATTCTTTATATACAGAATACTAATAAGGCAGTATATCTATTGAATTTGTAGTCGTGTTTGAAGCCGTTTAATAAACTCGCAGGTCGTGTTTTATTAGGTCTAAAGCCACTC